ATTCACAAGGTTTAGAACTGGGATGGACTTCAGCAATCATCTACTCCAATTTTTAATAATATTTCATTGTGGGGCAGCTAGATGGCGCAGTGGACAAAGTTCTGGCCTTGGAATCAAGAGGACCTGAGTTCAAATTTGACCTCAGACACTTGACACTTACTAGCTGTGTGACCCGGGGCAAGTCACTTAACCCTGACTGCCTCACCCCCCCCAAAAAAATAATATTTCATGGCAATCTGCCAATAACATACATTTTATCCAGTCATTCCTCAACTGTTGGAAGATAGGTTGTTTATAATACAAATAAATGAATACTGTTGGAAACATAGACCTTTTTCCCTTCTCTGTAACATTAGAAGATATCACTAGGTTGAGGAGATGGTCCTGGTTGTAGGACCGCTTGGTCAAAGGGAATAAATCTTGTAACTCACGGCACATTGCCAGAAAGCCCTCAAGACAGATCTCATCAATCCACTGCATCACCAGCAGTGCAACAGTAGGCCTGTCTCTTCAGAGCCTGCCATAACTGAATTTTACCATTTTTAACTATCTCGACTAATTTTATGAAGGTCAAAGTTACTTTAATGTACATTTCTATAATCATGAGTTTGACCAATTTTTCAAACGCTTAACAATTTGTGTTTCTTCAAGAACTGGTCTGTCCATATCTTTTATGAACATTCAGCCGTTAAGAAACAGACATTTTTCTTGTGAATTTGTATCACAGAATCACGGGATCATAGATCTAGAACTGGGAAGGACCCAAGAGGTCATGTGGTCCAACTCTCCCATTTTATGGATAAGGAAACTGATGCCCGAGGAAGACAAGTGACTTGTCCAAGGTCACACAAGTCAAGTTGAGATTCAAAGCCCAGACTGACTCCAGTTTCAGCGCTCTTGCGGGTATCATGCTGTGCCTATTCCTTATAGTTTGTGGATATCAAAGTTTTATCCTAATGTGCTAATCTTCCCAAATACCAAGGATCAAAAACTTAGAGTCAGCTTGACTCTTCCTTTTCTTTCTACCCCCACCTCCAATTTTTTGTTAAATCTTGTCACTCCTCCTGACTGGCAACATCTCTTAAAACTATCCCCTTCTCCCAACTCCACTCCACTCAATTCTATCATCCTTGTTCAGGCCCTCAGCACTCCACTCGGAAGTAGTTGTGAGAGACTTCAGGTGCTGTGGCTACCCCTTCAAGTCACACTGAAGATCTTGCAATAGCCTCCAAGGGAGCCAGGACACACGACCTGCAATTCGACTCCCTGTGCATGGGCATCCAGCGCAATTCATCAGCAGGCATTCTAACACTCCATGGCTCTGGGTTACAAATTCTCACCAAAGTAACAAAAGACATGTTCTAGTCTCCCAGAATCCAGTCACAGCCCCAGGAGCCAAAACAAGACAACATTTTGGGAATAAGAACTTTCAGTTTACAGGGGTCGGCATTACAATGTTAATTGCCACAATGTTTAACTGTCCTGAAGAAAGGATTAGGTGGAAAGTAATTTCTCCTGTGCCTATATGAAGAATCTAACCCATCTGTAAATGGGGCAAACATTAAACAGCTGTGCATCTTGTATTGACTTTATTGCTTTGCTACTCAATAAAAGTGGGTTTCAAAAATTAACAAATACTATTTGGGGTCTAAATCAAGACTCTCCACATTTGACCGGTCCATAGATGAGTTGATTTCTGTTTATTCTAAGTCCCACAGGCAGCACAGTACTGTGGGAAAAACAAGTAACTAGAAGCTCAAGTCCTTGTTCTCCTGCTTTGTAGCAGGATGACCTTGGGCAAGTGGTTTTACTTCCATGAAGGAACCTCAGTTTCCTCATCTATAAAATGGGCATAACAATCCTTGCCCTAACTACCCTCAAAGGGATATTGTGAGGATAAAATGAAGGAGTTCTTTGAAGGTACTTTGTGACCTACAAAGCACTACATAAATGTAAGATATTGTTAATCATATGGAAGGATTATTGCCTAGAGAAACTAAGAAACTTTGCCCAAATTACACAATGAGCCATCAGGGCCCTTGTGACGTTCAGTTCAAGAAGATCATATTTATAAAACATCCCATCCCACAGAACACAATCAAAAATCTCTTTGAAGAAAAAGACAAATGAAGCCCAAGAACCAAGGCTGTTTACACTGTCTCCATGGCCATACTGTACATAAAGTGCATGAGGAGAAGATACCAAGTATCTCCTCTCCAACAGGAAATCATTTGTCCCAAAAACCCAGGGAAAGTAGAAATAAAGTGTTGAGCTTAGATCAAAATATTGCAACACAGTTCAGTGTTATTGTGGAAATGATCTTCCTCTAATGACAACAATTGCATAAACTGATGAACTCTACTTTAAAAAAAAATTCCAAGTCTTAAATGAAGACACAAAAACTTGCTTAATTTATAAGGTTCTTTATAGACTTTCTTTTTAGAGCATGGCTAAAAATAAAAGCTTAAATCTTTCAATAACATAAGCAAGCAATTACACAAGTGCTACAACCCTAACCATATATGGTTGCTTGTCTTCAGTCTCTGAAAAGGCCAAATGAAGATCAACTAAAATAACCCTTCAGATGCAAAAAAGGGAGAAACAAGGCCTAGGGGAAGTAAAAGAATGGCAAATTGCTTTGGGGTTCAGTGGGACAAATAATACCGAGTGTAATTAGTTGATAGAGTACTTTAAAAATCAAGCTTCTTGAATTTTGACATGACATCTACTATAAAGAGATGTTCTGCCTTCTGGTCTAGGCAGTGAGAAAACTGTAATTATAGTAATTTGACATAAAAGATAGAAAGAAGGAAGCTAGTGTTGGGCTGTGATTGAAAATTTAATTAAGGTCATTTTCAGTGAGAACCAGCAAAGTGAAAATGAGGGCACATCTCTCAAGGTCACCAGTGAGAGGAATTAATAAATGTCAAAATGGGCAAGGTGGTCTGAACTAAGACCTGGGGAGTATAGGTCAGTGCCTTATCTTCTCACCTGCATAAATGTTCATTACACTATCTATTTTGTCCTACTTGAAATGTAGACAGAAGAAATTTGATAGGATTAATATATTATTGTCAAACAAGGCAATGTGACACACATAAAACAAGACGACTTGGCTTCTAGTCCAGGCTCTGCCACTTACTCCATGAATCACCCTGGGTAAATCACTTCCTCTCTTTAATCTCACTTTCTGTCTCTATAAAATGAGGAGGCTACAAAATTCAAAAATCTCTAAAATTTCACCTCATCCCTTTCAAACTGGATAAGATGATAAAAGATGGAGATAGTCAATGCTGGAGGGGTTGCAGAAAGTCAAACCTTTCTGGAAAAGGATTTGTAATTATTTGAAAAAGTTTCTAACCTTTGACCTAGCAATCCCCACTACAGGATACCCCAAGGAAGTCAAAGACAAAAAGCAAAGTCATGTATGGACATGACAAAATACTCATAGAAGCAATTTTTGTGGCCCCAAAAAGCTATGACAGGATGAGTACCCACAGAATGGGGAAAAGCTTAACTGCTAGATGAACGAAATGAGATGCTATATAGCTCTTCAAGAAACCAAGAATATGAAGAATTTACAGAAACATGCAAAGACACATATGAACTAATGAAGAGCAATGAAAACAAAACTAGAACAATATGCACAATGGCTAAATAGAGTAAATAAAAAGCTGCCTTGGGGAACATGCTTGGGAGTGGAATAGGTCAAGACCGATTTATTAACTTTACTCACAAATGGATTCAGAATAAATGCAATGACTAATATTGAACACTTAAGTAAGCAGAATCAGGAAAACAACATATACAATAATGTAAATGGAAAAGAACAATCCAAAAAACCCCCAAATCAAAATGGAACGCTATAAAATGATGACGATCAAGTTTGGTCTCAAGGAAGAGATAAAAGGAGGCACTTCCCCTCACTTCTTTGCTGGGGCTATGGGTATATATTATTACTTATGATGACTTTTTTTTCCTCTATATGGATTAGTTTCGCTAAATTTTTATTTTTCCTCTTTTTTATTCTTAATCTCTGGGAGGGAAAGTGATACATTGGGAAAGGTAGGTGGCATAAAAAATAAATCAATAAAATTTTATTTTAAAAAATACTGAATCTAGATGTCAGATGACTATGGATCCTGGATACGGCAGACATGGACAACCATAAATGTACTAGTCAGTTTTGCTTGACTCTTTTCCTCTATGACAAAGGCAGGTTTGGAGGAGGTGGGGAAAAGGACATCTAGGAAAAGAACTGAGATGTAAAAAACCAAAAATGTCAATAAAATTTTAAAGATGTAAACTGGGGGCTAGACTTTCTTTTTAAGACCTCTTCTAGCAATACAATTGTATGACTTTTTTCTTGATAATCCCCCAACACAGCCAATGATCAAGATATGCTTTCATGAAAGCACTGATTTTGGTAACTTTTCATATTCCATATTCTAAATTAAGCTATACATAAAAGAAATGATTCACAAAATCCAAGGAAAAATCCCTTAAACATCTCAAATAATAGCAAAAAGGGCAAGAGGAAAGATGATCCAGCTTCCAACTGAATTTTACTGGTATTTTATTTTGCTGTGGAAATGGCTATACTTACAAGGCTTTTCCAAATCTATTTTCTGCAAAGACATGGAGGCTTTTCAGCCATACTACAGATTTCTCGGCATTTACACTTACACGCAAGATTAGGTTCTGCTCAGAATAGTTTTATATTTGATAAGTGAGTCAATATGCTAAATACTTCAAGTCATCTAAGTGATTTTCTTTGATAATTCCCATGAACTCTTCATCTAGAGTAACCGTCTAGGTGGTCATAAATCTCCTTTCCCGGAGGCCCAGGGCAGTTCCCCACCCCCATACTAAAGGGACAATAGAGCGGTCATAGGTTTTGGGCTGGGCCAAAGTGAATAGCTGGAAATGACCCAAACTGCCTTTTCCTTGCATCGCTGGGCTCAGGTCCAAAGGTTTTATTTCATTTCCAAATCACTAACCTGATGAGGCACAAGCCCAAGTGAAGTGGGAGGTTCGTTCATGCGGTCATCACTGCTACTAGCAACAGCATAGCCCCTGGGAAAAGGAAACAATCAGAGCCACTCAACAGTAACAGTTTATATTTAACAGATGTGAAGATGATCCAGGAGGTGAGCCATGTGACTTTTAAAGGGTGATCATGTTGTCCCTTCTATGCAGCAGGAAAGAACTAATTCCCCCCAAGTCAAATGGCCTTGTCCAAAGCATAATCTTTCTTAAAACACAGCATTCTTCTTAAGTGGACCCCAAAGAAAAGTCCACTGCAGACAGGACTTTCAATCCTCCATTTCATAGGCTAATAATATAAACACTCCCCAAAGGAAAAAAGAAATAGATTTGTGGACACCAAGTAGGCAGAAACTCTAAATCACTCCCTTCCTGAAAAATAATGGCACATGGCCTATGCCACCCAAGAAATGTATCAAAGGACCTTCACTTCACCCATGATCAAGATAGAAAACATCATCTGGAGATGCTCAGATTAATGAATACAGGGATGAACTAACAGTGTCCTCTCAAATCAAAATACTCTCAATCAGGAAGCTGTCACAGATTCAGTCTGGGCTGAGGAATAAGTGATTAAAAAAAAAAAAAAAAAAAAGACTGAGACAGGAAAGCTGCTCCCTGACCTGAACCCCAGCAACCAATGCCTACCCAAAGACTTCTGCACTCCTTCTGAATTTTGCTTGTCAGTGTTTAATGAGAATTATACATAATCCATTATTTTTAGCCGTCTGAAAAAGCTCTGAGCCACACCTCAAACCTATGATACTTGTTAATTTTCAGTGCGACTTTCAGAAAACTGGGGGAAAAGCCTTTGAAGAGTGGTTTTTCCTAGTTTATATTGTCTATGGCCCAAGTATGAGTGTTGGCTCAAATGCAATGTGGCTTGCCTATCTGTGATCTAGCAAGTCAATCTCGCCCACATGTCAAGAAAATCTTTAAGGAGATTTAAGAGCACTAAAATTTTCTCACTGCTTTTTAAATGCAACAGCCTTCTTGTTTTTATTTTACTGGTTCTAAGTCTTAAACTGAGGTTCTTCTGTGAGTTCAGGCAGATTCTCTCTGACAAATCACAGATGGCCTGACCAAATCCCACTTAGACTTGATATTGTCCCTGGACGATTAAATATGCACCAAGGATTCCCAACTTGGAGGCCCTGAGGAGGGGCCAAAGAGTTACATTAAGAAAATCCATTAAAAAGCAAACATACCTTGAGGAGACTATAAACGTTTTACATATATGGATGTGTACATATACACATATTTATGTATCACCTATTACCATTTTTCAAAAGTCAATGCTATTGTAATTTATAAAATACAAGTTCATTTAAAAAATAAAAAATAAAACAAAGTAGCTCTTTGTCATCATGTATTTTCTCAATCAATGGACATAAATAGTATAATACTACCACTGGAGGTCTCCAAAGTGTTCTGATGCTATAATGGTGTGATCATATTTGTAAAGTTTGGGAATTACTGATAATACATTATGTACCTTTGGTATGCAGGCTACTGACACAGGTGCCAGGCAAACATGAATCACGAACAGCCCAGCTCTTCCTTCCTTCACCCTCAGGTTTTAGATGGAAGTGCTTCACATTAACAAGACTTACATAATAGCATATATTCTTATAATAGTATATATTCTTGTCAGTCCCAGGCTTTCCTAAGCTCTTTTCTCAGGAAAGGAGTCAAGTCAGATTTTTCTAGTACAGAATGTAAAGACTGAGAAAATCTTTAGAAAAATCAAGCTAACAAAACAGACTCTCTCCCTCCAGACTAAAGAGAAACTGTTGAATGAACTATCCACAAAGCCCTCATTGGGCATTTTGTCTCACTCACCCTTCTGGGTGCTGTAGGACAGAAACCATCAGCTCCACTGCCAGGGATCCCGCAATCATGGCTAGTCCTGGTCGGCTGACGGTGCACTGCTGGTCTAAGGTCCGATCTCTGGTTGACTAACAACAAATACCCAAGTTTGTTACATGCTCAGAAGAATTCCACTCCACCCAACACCCAAGCAGAAGACTGAGGCAGCCAACATAAGGGGAAGCTCCCCAAATATCACTGACATTTATACAGTAGAATACGCAGGGATTTTTGAAGGGCCTTCATTCACAAACCTGAGCTCCTCTCATACTCCCAACACTCCACTGGGCAGGTGTTACCACTCTAATTTTGTTAATGAGGAAACTAAGGCACCAGCAGGTAAAAATGACTCGCCCAGAGTTACGTGCTGGTCAGCAGGAGAGCTAAGATTTAAAAAGCAGGGTTTCTATCTTTCAGACAAATTCTGTATCATTACACCACAAGCAAAAGCCACTGCTCCAAGAGCTTCCTGGTCATTTTTCGTTGAGATGGCTTGGATGTGTGCGATACTGGTTGATGTAGTCTACTTGGACGTGGTTGCATTGATACGTCTATGCTGCCCCTGCAGGCATATGGTGGGATGACACCAACCTTGAAATAAAAGGTTAACAGAATGATGACATAGAGGCAGCTAGATAGGTCAGTGGACAGATCGCTGGGCCTGGAGTCAGGAAGACCCGAGTTCAGACTTACTAGTTGTGTGACCCTAGGCAAATCATTTAACCTCCCTGGAGATGGAAATGGTAAACCACTCTAGTATCCTTACCAAGAAAACCCCACGGACAGTATGGTCCACGGGGTCATGAAGAGTCGGACACAACTGATCAACTGAACAACAAAAGCCATCACAGATGAGAACGCTGCATTCCCCTGCCCCAAACAGGGAGCTGGTCATGTGAAATGGGTCACAGTCGACTTCCCACAGAGGAAAAGGTCTCTACTTACGTCCCCCGGTGCCACAACATCATTGCAGAAGTAGCAGCCAAGTTTGTAGCCAGGGATGTTGGAAAAAAGAGATGATCCTAGGTCGGCAGATGCAGTGATACGGCTGGGATGTGGGTCTCCAGCCCCATGGTGTCTGGGCTTCTTCAGTCCATGTCTCATGACAACAAATGTGTCAAATCCCAAGGCAGCATTGATGACCAACTGAAGGTTTCCAGAGAGAGAAACAAACAGAACACCACAACACCCATTTGATTTTAGAGGCTCACAGAATCAAGTGCTTATCCTAGTTCACTGCACACAGCAAAGTTCAGGGAGCTCCAATTGCTCCATCTCTGGGATACATCTCCTCTTCCCCCTCTGAGAGCCACCAACTCTAGCTCAGGCCCTCAGCATCGCCGGCTGAACTACTGCAATGGCCTGCCTGTGTCCTGGCTCTTCGGCCTAAGTGATTCTCCTAAAACAAGCGCCTTCCTCAATAAGCTCCAGCCTCCAGCTGGATGCTGCCTCCAGCACCAACTAGAAAATGCTTTGTTTGGCCTTTAAAGCCCTTCCCAACTCTCCAGGCTTAGCACCCATCACTCCCTCCTGCACCCTCACAGCCATGCTGGCCTGCCTGCCATTCCTCACAAACCAGGCACCAGCTCTTGGCTCACCCTCTTACACTGGCTGCCTCCCACGTGCCCTCCTCTCCACCTGAGAGTACCTCTCTTCCTTCCAGCTCAGCTCAGCAGTCCCTTCCCAGGGAGCCTCCCCGCCACACGCTCAGCTGCGAGGGCCTTCCCCTTGGATCATACCTTCCATCTCTTCTCTGTGTATCCCGAATCACCCATCAATCCACATGCTGTCTCCCTCACTGGAATGGAGGCCTTTTGAGAACAAGGACTGTTCTCTATTTTTCTCTGCATCCCTAACTCTTAACCCAGTATCTGGCACATAGTCAGCCCCTTAATAAATGTTTTTTGGTTGACTGACAGGTATTGATTTCATTTGTATATGGAACTTCAAGGTGAGGAACCTCCCTCTGCCAGGGCAGGCCAGGAGCCTCTCTGCAAGGCAGCGCCCTGAGAGGTTAAATAACATGGCCAGGGTCACACAACCAGGATGGGGTCAAAAGCAGGACATGATCCTTGTGCTTTCACACCTGGCTCTCTATCCACCACCCTGGAAGCTTGGGGGAGCAAGGATAGAGCAAACTCGGCTTCAGTTTCACCATTTGTAAAATGGGGATACTAATACCACCTACTCCTAGGGTTGATGTGAGGATCAAAAGAGATGACATGTGATTGATGGATAGCAGATAATTAATAATTATGTGTTGAATGAATGAATGATTTAAGCTTATGCAAATACAGAGAAAATCTAGAGAGACTAAAAATACTATTAGCAGAACTCATATCTAGGTGTTTAGACCTTCTAAATATCATGTTATTTGTCATATTCAATCAATTTTGTTTTATTTTATAGATAATTGCATGAAGCAACAATCAAGGACTACAAAGAGTCCCAAGGGACACTTTATTATTATCTTGTTCGCATAACACAAGGCTTCACCGATAATTTAATAAATCCCTTTAGTCTCAATGTAGTGAAACATTCTCTGAGTTAGAAAGGAGGCTGCCTGATGACCAGGCCTAGCCTCCTGGTTCTCAAAAACATCACAGTGAGCCCTAGACCATATTCAAATAAACCAAGTGGCGACTTCCTAGCAAAGCCCTCTCATTACATACAGAGTGGTCACTGTTCCTCTTTCATTGCCTCTTCATACCACAAAGAATAAATACTCTCCTTAACTGCCTTCTGTTTCTAGGTGCTAGTATGTGTTTTCTCTGTATTTCTACAGAAGAGCTGTGTTAAACTGTAACTTTTCAGAGGGCAGGCCTACATCTGACACCTTGCAAGTGAGTGTCAAGTACAGCAGTACCTAAGAAAAGTGTTTAACCACTGCTTTGGATAAAGCATGAGATTCTGCTGCGATCCCTCAGTCATCCACTCTCCCATTCCTGAAGCTTTCCAATTCCCTGAAAGTCCTTTAGCGATGAGAAAGGAGCACAAGCAGACTCCTAGGGATAGGCTTTATGGCAGGAGCTGGAACAACTTGTTTACTTAGCTCAAAGTCACAATTTGTTTTGTTTCTTTTTACCATAAACAGCAAAAATCAGATAAGAAAAGGCTCAAACACATATAGAAATAAAGAGCTCTGAATACAAAGCTGGGAGGCAACTGGAAAAATGAGTGTATGGAAACAGGGGGAATCCGCCAATAAATGTATCAGTCTCTACTGAGCCCATGTGTGCAAAGTGCTCTGGACGATAGAAAAAAGAGGAGCAAGTCCCAAGTAGTCCCTGCCTTCAAGGAGTATGCCATCTAGTCTCTCTCTCTCTCTCTCTCTCTCTCTCTCTCTCTCTCTCACACACACACACATATACACACATACATGTACGTATGTGTGTATATGTATATATCTGTGCAAAGGTGTCAAACACCCCAAGACAGCACGTATCAGGTGTGGAGTACCATACAGGCAGGAGCCATAAAAGTTCAGAGGAGGTGGGGCTCACTGTGCTAGACTGTTTGGAAGAGGGCCATGAAGGACAGTTAGGGATTGGAGGAGCAAGGAGGAAAGTTGAGGACACTTCTGGGGTGGAGAACAGTGTGAGAAGGAAAACGGAGCCAGAAATAAGCAAGGCCTGTTCAGAGGGAAACTGAGTTGCCCAGCCTGGCTAGAGTAGAGAGGGAAATTACGCTGGAGGGAATAAAAGAGTGGGCAGTAAAAAATAAGGTCTGAAGGTGAGATTAGGACCAAATCCTGGTGGATACTGAATACCAGACTGCAGAGTTTGGACTTAGCACATATGCAATAGAGACACACTGAAAGAAGTGCTTAGCTCCTTGGCTGACATGGATCACCACATTAACCTGAAGAGCAGGTTTTTCAAAGGATTAAGATAAAGAGGATGTCAAGGTGACTGCACAATGTGTGGGCTGAAGGGCATTAGAGTAAGCCCAGGTGGTTGCTTGTTTTAAAGAGAACAGTTCTTCCTAGAAGAGGCTAAGCTTACCAGTTTTACATAGGTGGCAAGAGAAGAAAGCTACCAGTTAGAACAAACACTCGTTATCATCTTTCAAATCTTTTTTTACCTGCACTAAATTAGCCTGGAGCAATAAGGGTGAATCTGTATTCATTCCCATAAAGCAATGATGACAGAACCTACCTTTACCACCCCCCACAGGCTTCAATTTGCAGGTGAGAAAATGGTTTTCTAAAGCAAAAACAATGCTGTACTCTAATTTCCATTTGGATGATTAGATTTTAATGTAAAATCAGCATCCTTGTTACTGTTACTGAAACAAGTGACAAAATCTTGGTTATAAAGAAAGGCTTCCTTACACTCTGTGTTAAGTCCTGTGACAGTCACGATACATAGCTAAGCTCAAAACAGACCTTTGGACCAGTAGAACTGGGTGGAATCCCAATGCACAGAACTGAAAGGATTGGCTCTAGAACACAGCAGCCACCATGACAAAAGTAATGAAATAATGACGTCTCCAGACTAAGAGGTCCATGGCAGAGAAGGCCAAAATGTGCCTGATTAGGATATGGTGGCCCTGGGTCCAAAGGAAGTGAGCAAAGAGCTAAGATGAAGTGGGTCATCGGGCAGGCCAAAATCTGTAAAGAACCTCTCAGCTTTCCCAACTGCTGCCCACTTGTCTTCCTCCTTACTCTGTTGGACCTTGTTTATTTATGACTCTTTCGTCACTTCTCAATAGAACTCTACTAGTTTCAGGGGTAGGGGATATGTCATTATTTATTTTTAAAAGCTGCTGAATTTCAAAATTCCCCGTGTTGTAGCACAACAATTCTTCAAAAAGAGAACACTGCATAAGATCTAATGAGTGAATTAAACAAAACTACACTGGCACCAGAAGTTCTTCATGGTAATCCAATATTCAGCCACCAAAATTTAACTTCCTTCTCCTCAAACCTTTTTATCAAGAACCCACATGCCAGATGGGCAATGCAGAGGTGGAAATGGGCCCTGTTTTGTGAAACCTTATAATCTAAGACAAGTTGTTAAAAAAAGATATGGCTAGAGTTAAATGATACAAATAAAGTCAATCCTCAATCATAAACTCTAACTAGGGACTCTTCACCTTTCCCCTGTGCTACTGACAGGCCCCAGATCCCCCTCCTTCCAAGCTGCCTCTAGAATCTGCTACTTTAGAGGGATAACACTGCTGGTAAGGAATAGGGAGGAAGTGGAGAGATGGTTTCCTGTGTTCTAGTTGGAGAATAAAATGAATTTTCACATGGAAACTGTTATAAGTGGTAACTGATTCTTCATAACTAAAAATGCCATAGTTCAGCTAGATTCTGATTAAATAGACTTTGTAAGCTATTCAGGGACCCCAATCACCATTTATAACATAGTTTCTATGAGAAAATGTGTTCTGAATTTTAAACAACTGTCTTACAAACTTCTGGAACACAACCTGTTTATAAGTTGGGGCCTACATGTATACAACTTAAACAAGTAGAGTATTTATAAACTTTTTTTTTTAAAGAGGCCAGAAGACTGAATGGAGCAGGGAGTCAAGAGCAGGGCACTCTGTCACCATGCCACATACTGTACCTTCCTCCTGCTTGCTGCAATGACTGCAGGAAGCCATCGGCTTTCCCTGGTGTCCATCAAGAGGAAAATCACATCATGATCCCCGATGAGCCTCTCAAGTTGTTCCACATCTTTCTGAGCTTGTTCCATGGTGACATTGGAAAAATTCACAGGGTGACCCGGCATGGGGATACTCATGTTAAATCCTGCAGCGTTCTGAAGGAAGACCCAAAAGCACTTAACATCGGAAGCAGACACAAGTAGACTTGTAGCAGCTAATACGCATCTAAGGGACAAAAATACTTCTGTGTGTCTGCCTTGCTCCTCTAACCTTCACGAAGGCAGGATGATGGGACAAGAAAGCTCGCAAAGATACTCTCCTTCTTGAATCTTTTATGAAGAAAAGACCTGTTCCCTATCTAGTATGGGGTTTAGCCACTGTCTTGGCAAAACAGTGACATATATGATGGTTGTCTTTGGCACTGCATCATTCCTCCTGAACTACTATCTTTTAACAGTTCAAATATTTGGTCATTAAGAAAGTCAGGACTATAAAGGGTATCCAAAATTGTTCTGGAAGTCTGGTTAAAATGCCGGGTCAAGTCACTTCCTAAATCATGCATGAGACTATTTCCAACTGATAGGGTCAAAGGCAGGTAGAATATTTAACAAAGATAATGGTACAAGACAGTGAGTAAGTGATGTGAAATGTCACAGATAATAAATGCTACAGGAATTCTGAAGCGAGGTCACTTCTGAAAGTGGTCAACAGGTCTTTACAGCAAAGGGAGTATTTGAATTGAACCTTGAAGACTAGGAAGGACCTATGAAGGTAGGGGGTCAAAAGTTGAGATATTTTAGTCAGACTAGGGCTCTTTCTTCCAAAAAGAGGTAGAGAAACATGGAGGCAGAAACAGCCAGAGAGTGACAAATCCAGAGTCATATCCACTAAGCACTGAAGGAAAAATACCAAACCATGTGTGTTTTTTTTATCTGGTTTATTTCTGACCACCATATTCCAAAGTCACTAAGGTCTGCTCACCCTAGAATGAACACATATAAAGAAGCCCAGTGTCCTTTGTTCCACCTCTGGGTATGTGATGATCTAAGCACCAATGTTTGGGGCTATCCATAGTGCTGGCAGAGCTGCCTGGCTCCAGGAAGGACCCCACATGTGCATGTCCTGGCTATGGATGAAGAGGGCCATGGAGGTGAGGTCACAGATGGGCACGCATCCTCCCTGCATCCTTTGTTATGATCTCAATAAATTATAGTGAAGTAAGTTCCTTGAGAGGGTGAACTGTCTTTATTCTTTAAATTCAGAAATGGATTGGTACAAGGCAACAGAAGTCTGAGGGAATTCCAGGAATTTCCCCAGGAAAGGGGAAATGATAAAAGCAGAGTCAAAGATGTAATAAAGAACAAAATGTTTTAGAACCACAGTGCATTAGAGCTAAAAGAGATAACCTAGGGGCAGCTAGGTGGTGCAGTGGATACAGCACTGGCCCTGAAGTCAGGAGGACCTGAGTTCAAATCTGGTCTCAGACCAAACACTTGACACTTACTAGCTGTGTGACCCTGGGCAAGTCACTTAACCCCAATTGCCTAAAGGGGAAAAAAAAAACCAAAAAACAAGAGATAATCTAGTCCAAAGCTCTCACTTTACAACTGAAGAAATTGAGGCGCAGAAAGGAGCCCGTTTAAAATCATATAGCAGGACACTGATAGAGTCCAGCCTAGAACCTTGACTTCCCCCTTCCTGGTCCATGCTGCACCTTAGAACTCAGTGTCTATATTAAGCTCCTTGAGGGTAAGGGCTGTCTTGGCCTTCTTCTATATTCTCATCCATGTCTAACTTAGGGCTGGGCACAGGATAGCTGCTCAGTAAATATGCATTAAATTGAATTAATTCTCTTAGGGGATTTTAAAAATGAATAGAAATACAGAAGCAACATTTCCCAAGAAAAGTGCATATAAACTAAAGGCTTTTGGCTTAAAGAATTTGGAAATTTCCAGGAGAGGCAGTGTTGCATGGTGGACAGAGCTACAGATTTAGAGTCTGCAAAGCTTGGGTTCAGATCTCAACTCAGAAGCTTACCAGCTATGTGACCTTGAGCAAGTCCATTTCCTCATTTGTAAAAAAGGACAACTGATTCAACCATTCTGGAGAGCAATTTGGAACTGTGCCCAAGGGCTATAAAAATTACCCTTTGACCCAGCAATAGCACTTCTAGGGCTGTATCTCAAAGAGATCATAAAAATGGGGAAAGGACCCACATGTACAAAAATATTTATAGCAGCTCTTTTTGTGGTGGCAAAGAATTGGAAATTGAGGGGATGCCCATCGACTGGGGAATGGCTGAGCAAGTTGTGGTATATGAATGTAATGGAATACTATTGTGCTATAAGAAATGATGAGCAGGCAGACGTCATAAAAACCTGGAAAGACTTATATGGACTGATGCTGAGTGAAGTGAGCAGAACCAGGAGAATGTTGTACACAGTAACAGCCACACTGTGCGATGACTAACATTGATAGACTTAGCTCTTCTCTGCAATGCAAGGACCTGAGACATCTCCAAAAGACTCATGGTGGAAAATGACATCCACATACAGAGAAAGCACTATGGAGTCTGAATGCAGATTGAAGCATACTATTTGCTATTTTTTTCTTCTGCTTTATTTTGTTTCTTCTGCTTTATTTTGTTTCTTCTTTCTTTTGGTTCCTCCTATTGGTTCTAATCCTTCTTTACAACGTGACTAACATGAAAATGTTTGATAGAAATGTATATGTAGAGCCTATATCAGGTTGCACGCCATCTTGGGGAGGGAGGAGAGAAGGGAGGGGGAGAAAATTTAAAACTCAAAAGCTTACAGAAATGAATGTTGAAATCTAAAATAAATAAAATAATTTTAAAAGAAGGATAATAAAAGTACCTACCTCACAGAGCTGTTGTGAAGATGAAAAGAGATAAAAGTACGCAAAGCACCCTGCAAACCTTAAAACGATTTGTGTGTGTGTGTTTGTGTGTGTGTGTGTGTGTGTGTGTGTGTGTGTGTGTTAGCTACCTCTGTCATTATAAATAAGGAAACTGAGGGCCAGAGAAGGTTAGGTATTTGCTCAGGAGATGCCAAGTAGCAAGAAGCAGAGCATGCATTCCAACTCAGACTAACTCCAGACTTGACAACCTTTCCATCACACCACGCTGCTGAAGAGCTCTCTCAGTGGCAGAATGAACAAAAAGGAGAAAGTGGAAGTTAGTTGTCTGGTTTGGCTAAGCCTGGCTTCCTAGCAGATGCCTTATGGATAAGCAGATATTCTTAGGACAGCTGGTTTGACCCTGCTGACCAAAACCACTACAGAGATTACTTGTTGGATGACCTCAAGAAAACCTGCAGTTATCAATGAAATGAGCAGAATGATTTGCTTCGTTAGCTGGGGATTTTAAGTGAATGACCCTACAGTAAAGAGTAAAAGACAGCACAAAAACCAAATACACACGTACAGACATTTGGGGAGCAGGGAAGATCTCTGCTTTCAGAAAATCCTTTACTCACCACTCCTGGGAATATTTTCTGAAGCCTCTCTGCTGCAGCAAGGGCCTTTGGCTTTCCTCCCCCCAAGCAGTCTTCAAATTCATACAAGGGCTGTCTCACAGGATTTGAGTAAGAGATCTTTGCATTGTCCACAAAGGTGATGTGCCTGACTCCCCAACCCTACGTGAAACGAGAGAGAAGAGTTTGTTTTGAATGAGCCTGTTAACAGGGAGTCTTTCCGGATTCTCTAAAGGACTGGGTTTTATAGCCACAGTCACCTAGGGACTTCAAAATTAAGGAAGCTTCCACACCTGACGTTCAAAACACCAGGCATTTTCAATCTAGAAACATAACGTTGTTCTTGTTTGTTTCTGAAAATGACTGCCCCATGAAGTCGCTAGTTCCTGGATATCGGACACAACATGCTGGGTCAGACTGACGACCTCAGACACCAGTACCTGACAGTGGGGACTTTTGTGGGAGTGCCATCCCCAAGATGCTAGAAAGGTTCCCCCAATGCCCTGAGTTTCCCTTAGTTACCCAATGGGGGGACCATGTTGAGCTTTAATGACTTAGCATTGTCATTTCCATGTTTAACACTCACTGAATAAAGCAGTACTTATCAATTTGCCCTAAAACTATCTCAGCTGACCTTGAATTTAGTGAACAAAATCCATGGAGGAGGATGAGCTGTCCATGTTGTTCATGAGTTCATACCCTCCCATCACATAGTCTTCTCAGGCTTCACAGCATCAAAGAACCCTTGAGGTCACATGGTTCAGTCCCATCATTTTAAAAATGGGAAAAGACCCAGAGAGGTTAAATAACTTGCCAATGACTAGTTAATAGTAGTATTAGAATCAAAGCCCAAGTCTCCCAAGCTTCTCCCCAACTGAAGAGTCCTACTCTTTCTAATACAGAGACTGTGGGAGGGTTAGTAGAGGGCCAGCACTGACAGCAGGAAGAAGGAGGTGAAGGCCCTCTCTTGCCGCCCACTGGCTGGGACCCACGTCCATTAGATAACACGGCCAAGTCTCTCCTCTGTCCAGTGCCTTCTCTCAGGTTCTCTGCTGCTGAAGAGTTGCTGAGCAGGTGGAAGAAGGTTCCACCAGGAGCATCCTATGCTGATGAAACCACAGACCAAACTAACAGGTGGTATGTGTACACTGCGGTCGGAAAAACACTGGCCTCAGAGTGAGAAAACCAGGGTTTGAGTCCTGAGGTCACTTCCTAGTCCTGTGCCTCATCTCTCCAAGGCTGCTTCTGCACCTATCAAAGGAGGCGCCTGGGACGAATGACCTCCAAGGCACCTTCCAGCTACGATTCTACAAAACATCTTCCTCCAGAAATGGCCCTTCTGGCCATTTCAGCTATCTGGGCTTGGACCTTTACTACCTCTGATGTGTGCATGTCTTTTCAGTGACCAGAGCCAGGTGAGCACTTCAAGGTCAAACTGGTTTTGAGCTTATACGGGGTAAGGTCAGATTTTCGGCTTGACTCCCAGTACCCTTCATGACACTCGGCATCTGAGGTCCTTCTTGGTTTGGCTTAACAGCACTTTGAGGTTAGCCTAAAGACTTTAGGAACACACTCAACAATGACCCAAGGTGCAGCAGGACCAGTGAGGATCCCAAAACAGGCTTTGACAAAAAGAATGGTACCTGGATCAAAACTGAGAGCTCAGGGTTCATGATGCTAAAAGCCTGGTTTGGAATGAAGTTTATCTGTCACTTTAGCTTTTTATTTCCATCAGAAAAGCATTTCCCTAGGGAAAAGAATAGTGGCATGGATAATCCAAAAAAAAAATTTTTTTTACTTGGTTCTAGATTATTTCTTTTTGAAGGAATTTTGTATTCCTTAAGTATACACTACCTAGACCAAGGGGAAAGCAGAGTGGGAATATGCTGGGCCATGGGAAAAAAGCAGATGTGCTTAAAAACATGTCACAACTAAGCCACTCAATTTTTAGTTTCTGGAATATCACATGATTTGAATGATTAATCTGGAAGAGTGACAGTAGAAATATAAAGGAACACAAAAGGAGGGAATACAGCCTCACAGGCTAAGAGCAATTTCCATTGGCTACTCCACACCTACCATTAATGTCCTGGCTACATTGCAGCCCAGGGTACCAGCTCCAAGTAGCAAACATTTAACAGACACAACTTTGTCCAAGTCCAAAGTAGGCACCAACCGCCAACACATCAATTTAAGATTCAGATCCACAGATGATTCGGCCAGCCTAGATAATGGAGAGTAATAGCTCAGGATCATTAGGGCACTTTTCCTAGAAGCATTCATGGTGTATGCCAAGACCATGGCCCACAAAGTCTAAAAAGATCACAATTTTTAAAAAATGTACCTTTTGGGGTCCATACATTCACTGAGGTTCACCATCCTTGGGCCCATGCCTCCTTTCTGGTTCTTTTCCCAACCAACAGCTTTTGGGCAATCTACAAAATTAAATAAAGCCAACAAGGAAAAGATGAGAAGCAAAATGCTAAAGCTACAGATTTTACCATTTAAGAGCCCAGGCAAATAACATAACAGACATTCTTTTCCAGGAACCTGGTAAAAAGCAAATTCCCATCTAACTGAAGTTTTTACATTTTTGTATATTTTTGTAAAACTCCACTTACCTAAAGCCATCCAGGCAACCCCCTCTGCTCAAAAGAGCTAAAGGAACAGGGGCCAACAGGAAGAAAGTGAAAAGAAAGGAGAAAAACAAGGGAAGAGAGTTCAGGTCGTGATATCTTGGAAACCCTCTGATTTCCTTTCCCAGGTGTCTCAAGAGAGAAAACCACCAAGGTGATGGTGACCTATCTGAGCTATTCTTCCCCAAAATCTTCCTTATGTTTAATAGTCTTATGGAGCTACATCACTGCACTCTGGCCTGTACTACTGACTTTATCCTTATCCCTCATTCCTGGAAAAGTACTTTTACTTTTTCTGATTCACAGGATCTTTGGACCTTTTTTTTTTTTTTAAATGAGATGGCATCTCAAATCGTAATTTCACAGGGTTACAAATTTAAAGCTGGAAGTGACCTCAAAGGCCATCTAGACAAAGCCCCTCAGATAAGGAAACTGAAACCTAGAGAGGTCCAATGACTTCCCCAAGGTCACGTAGACAGTAAAATGGCAGAGCTGGGATTTAAGACCCTGAGTTGGTGATGGAAGGTGGTGCAATGACTTCAGACATGGCAATAATAATATTGCTGTGCCACAAAATTTCTCACCCATAACTGAGGACACCATTTGAAACCATGATTCTATCTAAGTATCTTGGAAAGACACATGTACCCTACTTTGGGGAGGTCTATAAATTTTCAGCAAAGAGGTGACTCAGTAAATGTTCAGTCACATTGGAGGCTAAGCTGTAATTAGTTTTTTTCCTGGCTTAGCTCTATTTCCAGCATTGAATACTTAAAATGGAAATAATATATCTGGTTCCATTCCCAGGGAATGTAAGAATTTAAAATATCTTCTCTGTAAAATAATTGGGGCTTATCAATTCATATTATTGGACTTTTTCCAATATGCTTATACTTAAATATGCAGTGCTCATGGTAAAGTACAAAAAACAAGATAATCCTTCTCTTTCCCCCTTCCCCCAGAAGCTTTTTTCAAATCTTGGTGTTTCAAACCTCCCCCAATACCAACTTTTTTCACCCTCTCAGCTGCATACTTCATCGAAAAAACTGAAGCTATTTCTCCAAATGTTTCCTCTTTTCCCCTTCTCCTTATCTCACATCCCTCAAAACACCTTACCTGATTCTCTCTCCTTTAATTGAGTCTCTAATAAAGCGTTCTTCTCCAGCAGACTGGCTCCACTATTATCCCCACTCACTCTCTCCTTTTCTGCCTCTCCCCGTCTTCAGATTCCTTACCTGTTGTCTCCCTCATAGTTTAAAAAAAAAAACAAAAACACCACCCTAATCAGATCCTACTGCCCCTACTAAGGATGTTCCTGTATTTTTCTTCCTTTTTTTAGCTAACCATCCTAAAAAAGTCATCTACTCACTGTCTGCAAATGACAAGCTATGATTCCAGAGGATTTTAAACAAAACACATTACCCACCTCCTAACATTGAGGGGATGAACTCAAGATGCAGAATCTTTTCAGACCATGCCAATGTGGGAATTTGTTTTTCTTGACTAAATATATTTGTTACAAGAGTTCTGTCTTTTGTTCAACGAGGGTTGGGGGGAGGTTGAAGAGTGAAGAGAAGTAGAAATAGGTTTGCACCCTACTATCACGCCAGAAAGAAAATCACAATTCAGAGAATCACTGAAGCATTTTTTAATGCACAGAAGAGTACAAAGGATAAGTCAGAGGGAATCACAGACACGTAAGACAGCTTTGAAAGTACCATAATTAATTTATTATATACTTGAAAACAAAAAGTATCCATAATAGAAATTCACAATTTCATATATAATCCTTTTTCTATTCCACTATATATATATATGGACATGTTTATTTGCTTTTTAAGTTTAGAATAAAAATAAATTCAAAGAAAAAAACTATAAACTCTTTGCAATCTGGCTGCTGACCTTATCATTCAACTGAAACTGCTCTCTCCCAGGTGAGCAAAGATCTCAGTTGTCAAAGATAACGGCCTTTTTCTCCGTCCTCACCCTTCTTGATCTCTCTGCAGCCTGGGAGACTGCTAATCATCCTTTCCTCCAAGCTCTTCTCTCCTCGCTGGTTTTTATGAGGTTGCACTCTGGATTCTCTTCTCAGATGGCTGACCCTCCTTTTCCATCTTCTGTGATGAATCTTCACCACTGTTAGAGCCACCACGCTCTGCCCTGGTCCCTCTTCTCTCTTCCTCTATATTATTTCACTAGATGATCTCATCAGCTCCCATGAGTTCAATTACCATCTCCATACAAATGATTCCCAGAGCTCTATATTCAGCTTTAGTCTCTTTCCTAAATTCCAGTCTCCCATCACCCAAAGCCTACTGGACATCTTGAACTGGATATCCTGTAGACATCTTAAATTGAGTACACAGAAAGCAGAACTCATTCTCTTTCTCCCCAAACCCTCCTCTCTCCCAAATTTTTCTATTACTATTAAGGTCACCATCATCTTCCTAATTATCCAGATTTGAAACTTTGGTGTCCTCACTGACTCTGCACTCTCACTCAATTCACATATGTAATCTCTTGCCAAATACTGTTGTTTCTACCCTCACAACTTCAGTCACGTTCCCCTTCTCTTCATCTACACAGCCGACACCCTAGTCCAGAATCTCATCACCTCTCACCTAAACCGTTGTGAAAGCCTTCTAATTGGTCTTGCTGCCTTGGGTCTCTACCCACTCCAATCCATCCTCCCCTCAGCTCCCTAAGTGATTGCCCCAGAGTGTAAGTCTGACCACAAAACAACTCCAGGGGCTCTGTATCACCTCTAGGATCAAATATAAAGTCTTCTGTTTGGCACTGAAAGTTCTTCACCACTGACCACCTCCCTGACTTTCCAGTCTTCTTATGCTTTCTTCCCCTCCACACATTCCACAACCCCACTACTTGGCCTAGCCGCTGATCCTTGAACACAACACTCCATCCATCATCCCTGTGCCTTTGCAGCGGCCGTGACCCATGCCTAGCATGACTGCTCTCCTCAGCTCCACATCTCAGAGTCCCTGGCTTCCCCCAAGATTCATCTCAGCTGTTACCTTCTTCAGGAGGCCTCCTCCCATCATCCCAGTACTAAAGCTTTCACCTCCAAGATTCCTTTCCCTCTACCGTGTAGGTAGCTTGTATGTACCTATTTCTTTACATGTCATCTGCTCCATTAGGACATAGGCTTCTGGAGGATAGGGACTGATTATTTTTTTACATTCCTCTGTACAGCTAGCATTTAGAACAGTGCCTGGCACATAGTAAGTGCTTAATAAATGCTTACTAACTGAATGAAACCATTTTTAAAACCCTAAAGAACAATAGTTTAGTATTGTCTCCATGTTGAGGTACTACTGATCAATTACACAGAGAAAAGTTGATAACTCTGCTCATACAAATGGCTAATATCAAATACCAAACATAAGAGGTATTCTAAGTGTTCATAGAAAATATAAAATCTATTTCAAAATAAACATGCCAACAACGTCCTTTACCCAAAGCAATGGTTTAAACACTGCTCATCAAAAATTACTTATTTATAACCAAATGAGTCTACAAGTGATGTTGACTCATTTCATCAAGGAGAGCAGAACTCTCATGCTTCCCGGCCACCCGACCGGAAAACACAGAGCTCCCAGTTCTGAGGCCCCAACGAGGGTCTCTTCTCCTTAGGCACTACCCTCATTTGCAACCTCTCCTCTTTCTTCCTGTCACGTTTTCCTCCTCATCCTACTGGCACAGGTTACGTTGTGGAGCTGAAAAAGACCCTCCATCTCCCCCAAAGTCCTTGCCGTTTGGGCCACAGGATCTGAGAGAGAGCTAGACAAGATCTCAGAGGCAGCTGAGTCCAACCCTTTGTATTCAAATGAGAAAACGGAGTCCCAGAGAAATTAAATTATTTGTCCACAACTACACAAATGAAAAGCTGCAGAGTAACGGTTCAGACCCAACTTCACTAGACCTTATGACTCACACAGTCCAAGTTCTAGAGCTCGAAGGGGCCTCTGAGGAAATCTCGGGAGGCTAAAAACTTCTCCAAGGATACAAAGAAAGTAAGCAGAGGGGAGGCTTGAATCCACATACAGAGCCAGTGCCCCAATCAGGCTCTCCCTGCCTTATAACAATTATATAATGGGACCAACTTGTATTAATGGTCAAATGGGAAAAGGCTAGAGGATTCCTTCAGGGTTCTCCCACTGCCTCTAACAAGGGTCTTCTGGAGACAAATATTATTCAGTGTGTCTTCTGTACTGTATTAACTGGAATATGATAAATAAAATAATTTTTAAAAGTATGATCCAGGACAGATGAGGTTAATGTAAATCTCCCTGGCATCAATTCAAATCTATAGATGCATATGGGTGTGTATGCACGCGCATGCGCACGCGCACTCACACACACACACACACACACACACACACACACACACACCCCAAATGACTCTTCAAAGATTCCTTCCAGTGAGTGAAGCACTGAAGCTTTCAGCGTTCTAAGCCAGACATGTCAAACTCAAATAGTTTGCCACTAACCCACACATCAGGATCCCTACAGGCTGTATATTGATTTGTTTTTAAAATGTAACGTGGTCTGTATTTTATTGTATTTTCATTTATTTTGTTAATTATTTCCCAGTGACACTTTAACCTGGTACTCCCTGGCCTCATGGCTCTGGGATGCCAGGCTGCAGACAGTGGCATCCTGCGTAGGTATAGGAAGTTTTCTCAACTGGAGTTCCCTAAACCAATGACATTTCAAGTTTGGTTCCTACGCCTTATTATTTAAAGAAAAGCCTTTGAAAAAATATCTTTGAAGAACAATATATGGTTCTAAAATACAACCAAAATGGCTCACTCCCTGAACAAATCTATCAAGTAACTACATGAGAAATGCATGTCATTTTAGAATAGCCAGAAGAGGGCACTGGTATGTCAAACATATCTGAGAAGGCCAGACAAGAAAGGAGGAATCTGCCAAAGGCTCAACTCTAAAGGGAAACTGAGGCACCCCGGGAAGTGATCAAGTCTGCAGTGCTCCACCCACCTTTCTGTCAAAGCATATTCATTGGGAAACCCTTATCCCTTCTGCAACATAGGACACCCACAAAATATTTGTAGCTACCATCACTGAGCCCTGTTCACTTGTGCCTGGTGGAAATGTCATCCTGGAATCATTCTGACACCCCCTAACTCCCTGTCACCCCCAGTCCCCCCAGCACCCCCTTACTTCCTGCCAGCCCCAGGCCCCAGACCCCAGACCCAAAATGCACTCTTCCTATCATGGGCAGTTTATGCTGAGAGGCAGTCACTGCATATCAGTAAGAGTACTGGGTTTGGAGCTAGGAAGATCTGGGTTCATATCCTGCCCCTGACACATACCAGTTATGTAAGGCTGACCTAGGCAGGCATTGAGTCTCTTGGGCCTCTAGGCAACTCTCTTAAGCCCAGAAATTAGAGAGTAAGTGCTGGCCTGCACTGGCAGAGGGAATGGACTCACCCAGGAGTTTCCTATATCCATGAAATACCTGGCTAGTCCTTATTCCTTACCATACTCCCAGGTGAACAAAAATTAAATATACCAAGGGCATCAATCCCTAGTTTCCTTTAAGAGAAGATACCTTGCAGGAACTATATAATGGAGTGAAAGCTTAGTGGTTTATTTTTTATTTTAAACCTCTGCCTGAACACAGTTTTCTGCCTTTTCTAAGGATGCTTTCTATTTGCTTTCTTCTGAGGAGCAGATGTGCTGGGCTCAAAGCAGCTGTTCTCACCAACAAAGATGTGCAAAGGTCTTGATTTCTGTCATCTTAACCATTACGGAAAAGGAAAAAGAAAAGGAAATGAAACCAGGACTGACCAGCTTCTGTTTTAAAGACAAGGAGGCTGATTCCTCCGCTGAGCAATTACCTGAGTTATATGCCAATTCTGGAAGCTGGACTTCAAAGATGATGCTGTGAGTGATGTCCCTCACCCCCTGCAGGGTCCGGTCCCGGAAGCAGAGGACTTCGACTGACTGGAAACGGTCACTCCTGTTGTGACCCCCAAACCCCAGAGTAAAAAATCAGATCAGAATCTCTGCAATATGTGCAGAGCAGAAGGCAACAGACAGTTCACTTTAATGTTATTGTCATTCAGATGCCTACACTGGGAAACAGCCTTAACCTCCTGGAAAGTTAAATGTTTTAACTTCTGCTTGCTTCCAAATACCCAAGGAGAAGAAAAGTAAGCTGACAGGATTCTAATGCAAATGAGTTTTAAATAATACAATCACATTATACGTAAATGTGCACATATGTGCATATTCATACATACATACATACACATATGCAAGAATTTTTACAAGGCAGGGTAAAAAGTGTCAAGGGAAGGTCTTCTATGGTCTTCCAATTCTTCTATTGGTATTATATTGCAAAAAAGCACCCCTATAAAAAGACTCAAAAACCATCTTCTAAGGTGTTTTATGGAACCTATAAATATTATTACAATGAAATGCCATTTTCCCTTATCTGAAAGACATTAAGTGTGCATGCTTTTCCTTAATAACCTGACAGAAGAAAACAACTCACTTTACTTTTCCGCCTTTCTCAGTCTGTAAAACGGGGGTAATAATTGCATCCACTTTCCAGGGCTGTTGTGAAGATAAAATGAGGTATTTGTAAAGCACTTTGAAAATCTTTAAGTGCTATGTAAATACTAGCTGCTATTAAGAATAACAACAACAAATCAAAACTAAATCCTATAGATGTAGTGATCAAGCTTGGGCCCAGTAAGAGACAGGATAATACATTTCCCTTCCTTCTTCCTGAAAGTAGAAAAATATGGAGGTAGAACACTGCCTATAATGTGCTGGCTAGGTTTGCTGAACTGCTTTTTTTATTTTTCTTTTTTATTCTTTGTTAAAAGGCATGGTTCTCTGAGTGGGCCCAGTAAGAGACAGGATAATACATTTCCCTTACTTCTTCCTGGAAGTAGAAAGATATGGAGGTAGAAAACTGCTTATAACGTGCTGGCTAGGTTTGCTAAACTGCCTTTTTCATTTTTCTTTTTTATTCTTTGTTAAAAGGGATGGTTCTCTGGGTGGGGAAGGGAGGAGAAATATACTGGGAAATGGAAGGTGATATAAAAACAAGTGAGATCCAATAAAAATGAAAGAAAAACACCTGGTAACAATAAAACTATAATCTAATCTGAAATTTATCACTCTGTTTTACTATGGGAAAATAGGGAAATGATAGGAAAATGGCAAACCACTTGTAATCTCTGGCAATGCAGTCTCAAAATTTCTGATCACATGCCCTTCCTGCCAGAAAAGTTTGCAGAAGTGAAGGAAATGGGACCCACCAATGACCTCAGCCCGTGTCATTTATCTTTATCCCTCCTCCATCTGCTCCTTTAACATTTTTAATCCAAATTTTAAAAGATATCCAACCAGCTTTGGCCCCTATAGACCAGATAAAATCTTCAAAGGCAATTAAATAGCTAAGAACCTCTGGTTTATATTTAAGAAATGAAAAATATTTTTGAAAAAACAAAAGCTAAATAAAAAACTATTCTCAATCCCAACAAGATGTGTATGTATGTACACACACACACACACACACACACACACACACACACACACACACACAGAGTCAATACCATTTATATGCTGCCAGGACCAATAAATTCCTCAATGGCCATCCGGGATATTGCGCTAAATTACAGGGATCATATACTCCAACTGTAATCTGTGAACAGAAGAGAACTCCGAGTGGGTCAAGTATTATTTCAGATACACAATACAGTAGATGCTAATGCTGCATTTCCTTGTTTAGACCATGCTGGGAAGCAGGAAAAATAAGACACTTGGGAAAGGGCCAAGGAAATGAGGCCAGAATTAAACACCTACCCACCTGGCAAGACAAGTTTCACGTATACTTAAATTCACATTTGGGGAAATGATACAAATGATACCCAGGTAGGTGTCAAGAAGGAAAGCCCAGGAAGGGCCCTTGAAATCAGTCGAGAGCAAGATTAAATCGAGAGGTAAGTTCATCATGTGTACAAGTAGTCCAAAGTTAAATAACCCCTTTACCAATCTGCCTAAATAGTAGGAAAAGAAAGGTTAACAAATGGCTAAAATCTAGCTAGTTAAAGGGAAATACTGAACTTACTTGGAACAGTATACTTAACTTTGTATACACATTTGCTCTTCCAGTAAACCTAGCCACAAAAGAACATAGTTCCCAATAGGGTATTCGTGATTTTAAAGGCTTATTTTGAGTACTAAGATGATTCTACTAAAGTGCTTCTCTCATGCAAGCCATCATGGTAAAGAGGTGACCATGGGTTCTAGAAGGTTCTGCTACTAGAACAAAGTCTCTGACCAGGCTATCACACCAGAAGGAATATGAGCCCAGAGGCTGCTTTTATGTCTGCTGAGGAACAGCCAAGACAATGAGCCCAGGTTGGCTAGAAGGTAATGAAATTTTGGGCCAGAGTAATACCTGTAGACCATCTATTAGGGAGACAACATGGTACAGAGGAAAGACCACTGGATTGAGAGTCTTAGAACCTGGATTCAGTTCCTAGCCCAGCCTTTTCTACCTATATGAGCCAGGACAGACCACTCAACTTGGGCCTAAGCATTCTCATTTGTAAAATGAAAAGACTGAACAAAGCAGCCTTCATGGTGGTTTCTAGCTCTACATCTATTATCCTATAATCCTAAATAAATTTTCTTATGATCCAGAGGCAGTTAGAAGGTGCAGTAGATAGGGCCTGGACTCAGGAAGACCTAGATTCTGATCCCACCTCAGACATTTATAACTATGTAACCTTGGGCGAGTCACTTGACCTCTGTCTGCCTCAGTTTCCTTGACTGTATACTGGGAATAATAACAGCACCTACCTCCCAAGGTTGTTGTCAATATTAAATGAGCTATCTGCAAAGGGCTTAACACAGTACCTTATCCATAGTAAGCATTCAAATATGTACTGAAAGGGTATCATTAGATGTTTTATTAGATAACTATTATTTTTTCATTCAAAGGCATTAGACCACCATCAAGTGTAGTTTTTACTCTGTATATGGGTCATTTTTTTTCCCCTATGGAGTATAATTCTATTTGGTAGTGCAAAAGGATTAGAAGATATGATTCACTTTTGCAACCATGTTTTCAGGAAAAAGATGTATACTGGTATTAGAGGTAATTTTTCCTTTTCCAAAGAGATTACATTCATACACCTCATTTAAACTAACCAAGTTTTGTGTTTTTAAAATGTCTTTTTTCAGTTAATGAAAATCTACTTTCTCTCCCTCCTACCTCCTCTCCTCATTGAGAAAACAATAAAAACAAAACCTCTGCTACAAAAATGTAGTCAGATATCACATACACATATGTATGTATATATGAGCACACACATATGTATATTATATATGCATTAACATCAGATTCTGCCATGCTACATTGTAGCATATATATACATATACATACATATACATCTATGTATATATATACGTATGTATGTGTATGTGTGTATCTGCACTCTGAATCCATCACTTCTCTGTCAAGAGGTGGGTAGCACATTTCATTATAAATCTTCTGGAATTGTGGTAGGTTATTGCATTGATAGAAATCTTTTTAATCAGGAAGTTTTTTTAAAAATCTTTTGTCTTTACAATATCATTGTCATCATATAGCTAATTCTTCTGGTTCTGCTTGCTTCACTTTGCATCAGTTCATACAAATCTTCACAGGATTCTCTGAAACTATTCCCTTCATCATTCCTTATGATATGACAATATTCTTCCACATATTCATATGCCATAACTTGTTCAGCAATGTTCCAACTGATAGGCATCCCCTCCGTTTCCAATTCTTTGCCACCACAAAAAAAAGGCAGCTACATTTTTTATATGGATCTTTTTGTCTTTTTGTTTCATTGTTTTGAGGTACAGATCTAAGACTGGTATTACTGGATCAAAGGGAATACACATTTTAGAACCTGTTGGAGCATTGCTTTCCAGAATGGCTAGACCACTCCACAGTTCCACCAACAATGCATCAATATAGCTGTTATCCCACAGCCCCTACAACAATATTATTTTCCTTTTTTGTCAACTTAACCAATCTGATGAGTGTGAGATGGAAGAGTTATTGTTATCTGTATTTCCCTATTGGTGACTTAAGAGCATTTTTCATATAGCTATTTACAGCTTGGATTTCTTCCTCTTAAAACTACCTGTTCATATCCTTTGACCATTTGTCAAATGAGGAATTGCTCTTATCCTTATAAATATAAATCATTTCCCTAGATATCTTAGAAATGAGACCTTTATCAAAGAAATCTGCTAGAAGATTCCTCAATTTTCCTGTTTTCTTCTGAATTTAGCTTTATTGGTTTTATTTGTGTAAAAATTTTTTTATGTTACTTAATCAAAATTATCTGTTTTACATAGTATAAGATGAGCCAGACTATTTTCCAGGTTTCCCAACATTTTTTTCAGATGCTGAGTTATTAATCTAAGAACTAAGATTTGGGGGTTTATCAAACATTAGGTTACTGTGCTCATTTGATTCTGTATATTGTGTACCTGATTTGTTCCATTAATCAATATATTTCTTAACTAATATCAAATTGTTTTTATTACTGATTTGTATGTAGTTTGAGATTACATATTATTAAGCTCCCTTCTTTCTCACTTTTTCATTATTTTCCTTGAGATTCTAAAACTTGTTCTTTGGGGATAAATTTTATTACTTTTTCTAGCTCTACAGAGTAAACCATTGGTAGTTTGATTAGTGCAGCACTGAATAATAAACGTCATTTTTATTTTTTTGTGTAAAGGGTGTTTTTGTAGTTATATTCTCCCGTGTATGTCTTAGCAAACAGACACCCAAGTACTTTATGCTTTCTGTTATTTTAAGTGGAATTTCTCTCTTCCTCCTGGATTTTGTTGGTAACATATAGAAATGCTGAAGATTTGGGGTGGGGTTTCATATCCGGCAATTTATGAAGTAATTAGTTATTTCAATTCATCTGTTGGTTGACACTCCAGGATTCTCTAAGTAAATCATGATATCATCTGAGAAACATGATAATTTTGTTTCTTCTTTGGCTTTGCATACTTTCAATTTTTTTCTTGTCTTATTACTATAGATAGCATTTCCAGCATTATACTGAATAGAAATGATGATAATGGACATTCATGCTTTACCCCTGATCTCACTGGAAAGGTGTCTAGTTTGTCCCCATTACAGATAATGTTGATTCTTGGTTTTATATAGAGACTGCTTGCTTGGTTGGTTGGTTGTTGTTTTTCGTTCTCAAGGAGGACTAAAATGACATCACTATGTCAGAGTCAAGACGTGGTGTGCTCGACTGTGGCTGATCAGACCAACAGGAGCTCAGAAGGCTCTCCCACAGGTCAGGCACAGGTAGTGCATATGAACATTTGGGATAGAAATGGCTCTAAATTTGTGCATCTCACATTTCTTTTGAGCTACTGAAATTCCACTTCACTCACAGAGCACAGCACCTTCCTTGATGTAGGCACGCCATGCTGGGCCATCCTTTGACAGTATAGTATCTCCCATGTCTCACAATTAATTCCAAAGTTCTTCAGAAGACCTTGAGATTGTCCTTTGCTGCCTCTTCTAACCACCAAGTGAGCACCTGCCTTGCGTGAGCTCTTTGCAAAATAGCTACTACACATAAAACAAGAACTCCATAAGGTTTACTAGCAACAAAGTTCATCTGGCTCTAAGAAAGCAGCATTTACCTTCAATAAAAGCACAGTGCAAGCTAAGCTTAGAGAGATGCAGGATTCTTGACTCACTAAGAAGGTAAGTGAAATTCTGTTTTATGCTGATAGTAACAATCCAAAGTGCTTTAACGATGCCCCGAAAGCTATCTATCGGCCAAAGACCTATGCTGCCTCTCAACTACTCAGTGCTGATGGAGCCACATTGATTAGTAATAAGGACATGATCCTGGAGAGATGGGCTGAACATAGTCCATAGTGTTCTTCCATAGTGTTCTCAGCAGACCATCATCAATCAATGCTGAAGTCATCAACCACATACCTCTGGTAGAAATCGATTCTTTTCTAGGTGAATGTCCAACTGAAGAAGAAGTTTTGAATGCCTTTAGGATCCTCTCATGTGACAAAGAGACTGGTGCCAATTCTATTCTAGAGACTGCTTATCACATTAAGGAAAGATCCATTTATTCCTACATACTCATGTTTTGTTTTTTAACAAGAATGGGTGTTGTATACTGTCAAAAGCTTTTTCTGCATCTATTGATATAAACATACTATGTTTAATGTTCTTGGTATTAATATGGCTGATTAGGTCTATAGTTTTCCTAATATTAAACCAGCCCTGCTTTCCTGGTAATCAAAATAGGTAGCATTTATATGGGATTTTAAGGTTTTCAAAGTGCTTTACAAATACTATGTTTTTATACTCACAACAACCTTGGGAGGTAGATGATATAATATTATCACTTTATAGATGGTAAAATTAAGTTTGAAAGAGGTTAAGAGACTTCTCCAGGGTCACACAGACAGTAAGTGGCTGAGGCTGAATTGGAATTCAGGTGTTCCTGACTCCAGGTCCCATACTCTTATTGCATCATGGTATATTATCTTTGTGACATATTGCTATCATCTTCTTGTTAACACTGTATTTAAAACTTTTGTATTGATATCCATTTGGGATATTGGTCAATAATTTTCTTT